ATCAGATCATATTATATACATGGCACTTCTTTAAAAAGGGCATTGTGTAACTGTGCAGAACATGTATACAACGATTCTTTCTGATTGCATGTTTAATAATTCACACTTTGTTACTGTCACTTGTGAGAATGAGCACAAATTTTTCTCTGATGCTGAGCAAAAAAAGCTGATTGGCTGCTGTACACATTAGTCATATGGCCATTGAAAGCTTCAAATAAACCCAGTACATAAGTTTGAAGGTCTGACTTCACATGATTATGATACACTTATAAACCATTAGTATAGTTTTATTCACTTTAATGATTTCTTTGTGTGGACACATCGCACTACTTTTCTAAGTTTTATTCAGAGCATTTCAGTTTTATATAAACGGCAGGCTCTGTAAACACTGGGTTGGTGTGATAAGAAGACCTCTAATGACAGAGTTACTAGTTCCAAGGTCAAGCTGTGTTTGCGGTGCTCTCCACTATGCTTGAAAAAACAAACACAACAGGCTTGTCTCTGCTAAGCTAGCTTTATCCTGCAAATCTTTTTCTTAACAGCAAAATCTGCATGAATTTTTCCTTCAAACCTTTTTGGTTATTTTGAGGGTTCAGTATCTCTGCTTATTAAAAGGCAATACACAGACGGTCTTCCTGGCCAGGAACCATCTCTGCAGTATTGACCACAGAGACGTCTTTCTCACTGTTCACCAGTGCATAATGGTATGTGGCTGGAATGTCAGGCTCGAACAGGAAGTGTCTGACTGTTTGAGTTTAACTGCTTTACACATTTAATGTCAGGCACAAAGCCTGATTGATTAGTTTTTTTTAGCGTGCTTTTGTGAGCATTCAAATCTGTTGTGGCTTGATGACACTGATTGTCACAGAGCAGGAAGTGTTCAGTGAAAGGTGATTCCTTTACACTATTGGCAGAACTTGACACTTGGGAATAATGATTTGCATGTGTTTTTGTGAAGCAGCTGTAACTGTGTAGCACCTGCTCCTGTCACTCAGGTTTGATCCTCACCTGTTCCGAATAAACATTCTCACAGGTGCAACTTGACAACCTCTCTTTTCCTCTTGATATTAGGCTGTGAATTTGAAAATGCTTCCTTTTTTTCTTGTATGATGCATTATGCTGTGTGTTGACCTTTTTATATTATGCCAACTCGGCTTAGTTCCTGTGTTTTTTTTTAAAGTGATGTAACATAATTCAAGTACTCTTGTCAACTGTAGATAATTTATTTCAGTTAAAAGTATTATTATTATTATTATTAATATTAGAAAAAAAATGAACTGCTTGATTATGAACTACTATTTGTTTCCAAAGGTTCTATTCTAATCTTCATTCATTCATTTATCTATAATTATATATATTTTTTATACAGCAACGGTTATTGATGTTGTTGTTGTTTTTTATAATATGCATGATATCTTCATGTTTGAATTTTATTTGAATGTTTGTGCAAGTTGATTTTAATGTCTTTTTTTAAAGTCTGAATGCTTCTTGTGAACTTGTTACGATGATATCCTATTCATGCAAACTCAAAACTGACAATGTATGGTTGCTGCAAGTGCCAAGTAAGATTATTATGATTATTATTAATTACTAATGTGTTGCACACAGCATTAACATAATGACGTTGATGTTGGCAATGCATTAAGGCCTGTCACAATAATCGATGACATGACCTCAATCATTTTTGGTGATGCAGTATATATCGGCCATTAGGCTTGGGCGGTATCCAAATTTTGATACCGTCAAACCTCCTCCCTATTTTACCCCGGTATCCGGTATTACCGTGCATAATTAAACAAATTATGACGTAAGGCTCAGACAGCGTTAAACTGTTGGCTTGTGCCTAAACCATTCAGAAACTGAATACCGTATATGCAACCGCTACCGCGGTCACCTGTTTGTCTTGTTCGTATTAGAGATCTGTGCAGAACGCTCTCTCTCATTCTCACACACATACACACACACGCGCACACACAGAGACAGAGACGCACAGCACTACGCGCTCTGTCTCTAATTCACACACACACACACACACAGATACACACAGCACTGCTCTCTCTCTCTTTCTCTCTCTCTCTCTCTCTCTCTCTCTCTCATTCTCACACACAAAAAAACAAACAGCATCTATGCGGCCGCTCCCTTTCAAATTACACCAGTTACCGACCGCTCCTGCCCCGCGATTTATTCGGAAGCTTATTGCCGCATTGCAAGAAATCTGGTCTGCTACCGCGGTACAGCAGCGGGAATGCAGACCTCTAGTTTGTATTTACCAGGTCTCCCTTTTCGTTCGTTCAGTCGAAACCGGAAATACTGCCAAAGTGAAGGTCGCGACTCACCACCTCACCTCTCTCTCTCTCTCTCTCTCTCTCTCTCTCTCTCTATCTCTCTCTCTCCCTCTCTCTCTTTCTCTCTCTTCTACACTGTCCCGTGATGATAATCACATATACGCATTTGTAGGCATTAAATAAATCATTTTAGTATTTAATACTTATCTCCTATTTAAGTGCATTGTTTTTATGATGGTATAACGGTATTTAAACTGACACCGTTGCTATTTTAAGATCCCGCGGTATACCATAATACCGTATTACCGCCTATCGCCCATACATAAACACATTCTAGCAACATTTTAGCTGATTGCACATCATCTCTATCTTTATTGGAGGTGTCAGTGTCGGTATGTTTAAAAGAACACTAGTATTTACTATAAATTACTATAGTATAATTTAATGTGGATGTCTGACAACTGAAAACAGATTTGGTAGCAGATATTTCAGTTATTTTTTTACTTTGCACCTTTTGTTAACATTTTACTATTATTTAGGATATGCACTTTCACATTCTGATACAAATACCTAATTAAATTGTTAAAATAACTACAAATTTAAACATTCTTATAAACAAACATGTTCGTTGGAAGAATGTACTTGAATTGTGATCATATATATTGTCAGTCTGGCATTATATAATGAGTGGCATGAAATGGTCTTCAAATATATTGTGATAAACGATATTATTGTCATTTTGTGCAATATATCGTACAACAAAAAATAGATATTGTGACAGGCTTACAGTCGTTTAGTGTGTAAGCACCAGTGACTGAGTTTTTTGCTTCTTTTGTTCAGTCCCTTCTATCAGCATTCACTGTCAGGATCTTGTGAGTTACTGATCCGTCATCGTTGTGGCCTTGAAAGGCCCTTCAGTACCAGGTTCTCCAGGGTACGTCTTGGCAGCTGGTGCCCAGTGCATCACTGCAGCGTGAGCAATACATTACTCCTTTGTCAGTGCTTTGTGCCAGCATTGCGTCTTCAAAATGTCGAATAAGGGTTATCATCACTCATCATCTTGTTGTAAGCGGCAGTCTTTTTTCCACATTTAGGAAAAGCATATCTGCTTCCGGAAACTAGTTTGAATATTTTCCAGTTTTGCAACTTCTATTTAAACACCAGCTCTGTTTGAACACCAGCTCTTCATAAAACATTGACGCTGGTTGCAAGATGGTCTCATGCCCCAGCTGACATCTTCCCAAAAGGTCAAGTCACGCTTCAAATGCTTCTATGCTTTTGAAAAATGCCTCGGGCTGTTGCCTCGTCCCAGGAAGCAGCTGAGTTTTCCCAGACCTTGTCAGGTGTGGGAGGGGGTTTCGGCCCACACATATCGGAGGCTAGTATTTGGCTTCTGGGAGTGTCTCTGATACCCATGGAGAGAATGGACAGGGCAGAAGTAGAGAAAAGGCATGGAAAGCCGGAGAGCTTTGTTTTGTACTGCATATACAGACTTAAACGGTTTTGTGAATGGAGAGGACAAAGTATTATTTGTAATGTCAATTTTCACTCTGTAGTAATGCACATGGTTAAATAATTGCAGTGATTTATATGTGCTTATGAGGTGTGTTGTACCATCATGTAATTCAATGTTTATATGAAATTGACCAGTTCTGTCCATGAATGTTACTTTTATCGGATCTGATGCCCATTCCCACACTATACCAGAAGTGTATGGGTTGGTGTTATTGTTTTTATTTTTTTCTCCTATGCTTATTAGTGCTGCTTTATTTCGTCAAAAACAGCCAATGTTTAAAATGCTTGTTTTCTATATACTTTATCAAATATATTTTGAAGACTGGAGTCAGTACTCCAGTCTACAGAATCACAAGATCCTTCTAAAATAATTTTATTATGCTGATTTACAGCGCAAGAGGTGTTTAATGAGAACTTGTAATCTTGTGGAAATGTTGATACCTTTTTTAATTAAAGATTATTTGAATACCAATTAACTGATAAAAGACTAAGTCTGCCATTCTCCAGTTCTCGTACAGCTCTCCTGACAAAATATGCTTGCTGCACACAAAATGCTTGCTGTATTGTCCTTGACAGCATTTGGGGGAAAAACATGCAACAAACCTCGTGGATCATGAAAACAAACATATACAACCCTTCAAGTACTGTGTGCGCAGCTTGGCAGGTCTGTGGCCCGTATTGGTGTGTCATCTGAAAGGACGTGCAGTCATGAATAATTAATTAGCAGGGTCTTATAGGACAAGAAATCATAATGAGTCTATCAAGAAATAATAATAAGTCTATCAATAATAATGAAAACTGATGCGTCATCACTCGACTTTAATCCTATCCCAAAAGTTATTTTAATTCTGGAAGATGAATTAAATTTAAAGAGAATTTAAAATTATCCAGTTTTCCCCACAATTAAAGCTAACAGGTGCTAACATTATCTTAACTGATGCTCAACACACCAAATCTGTTAAAATCTTAAAAGTACTTGAGGAATTCTTAAGTCTTAAATATAAACATAGATCTTTTGCAACATTATAAATGCATTTACTAAAACAAAATGATTCGTTCTTGCTATTATGGTATTTAATTATTTTTACATTTCTTTAATGACCCTGCTCCTTGGGGCAGTAAAGTATGTTTCTTAGAACTTTCATTGAGTTATAATTGTTTTGTCGATAAAGAATTGTTTTTTTCTTTTCTTGCTTCTAGGTCTGATGCCCTGCTGCAGCCATGTTCAGCAAGAAGAAAAAGCAACGCATCCAGATCTCAGCACCTTCGAACTTTGAGCATCGTGTCCACACTGATTTTGATGAACAGGAGCAGAAGTTTGTTGGCCTTCCACGCCAATGGCAGAGCCTCATTGAAGACACGGCCAAGAGGCCCAAACCCTTCATCGATGCCACAGTCATCACTACTGTTGAGCCACGCAAGGTCAGAGCAGATGGTTGGAACTGCTGGATATTTTATTATTTTCTCTCCATAAATACCTCGTAACGTGTTTGTGTTTCACAGACAATTGTCCGAGGTCGTAAGATCGGTGACGATGGCTCCCTCACCTGGCTCCTGGATGAGTTTGAAACCATGTCGGTGATCCGCTCCAACTCCCTGCGGAGAGGCAGTCCACCTTTACAACCACGCAGTGACTCTGGATCATCAGGAGGCCATGAGAACGGCGAACACCCCCAATATAGACACACTGATCGCTATGGGGACAGCAAAGAGAGGTGCTAAACTGATTTCCCTTACTCTGATCTACATGTTTGCTTTCCACACATTAAAATAAGAAATATTGACAATAAGCTTTTTTGTAGGGAGAAACCACGTCAGGAGCACCCAGGCACTGATCCTAGACAGTCTCAACGTCCGGGCCGTTCGTCCAGAGAGGATGGCCGGCCTCAGCAGCAGCCTCGTGGTCAGGAGCCCAGCAGACACAAAGAACCTGACTGGATTACACCGGGCCAACACCGAGAACGAGAATGGGACAGAGAACGAGAACCACGTGATTATTCTGACCACGTAGTAAGGAGAGAGGGGGCCAACGATAAGAGGCCCAAATCCAGCTATACTGGGAGGGATAGCAGCCCACAGTCGCCTCGTGAGAAGAGACCACTGTCAGGGCCAAACATCCGCACTCCTAACCTACCTGTTACAGAGGGAGTGATAAAGGCAGCACAGCAGACTGGCCGACCTTTCAACACATACCCACGCTCTGAAAGTGACTCTGGGAGAACCCCCAGCGGTCAGGTAATCAGAATATAAAGCAAAACCATTCTGAATGTGTATTTGTTCCTTTCACACCACTTTCCCTTTTTGCAGTTTCTGTAACTATCAGTGGAAGTGTACACACTTTGCTGTCCACAGTAACTGGGAACATTTTTAATTTTAAGAATCACATTTGGGTGAACTAAATTGGCTCCTACTTCACAGCAAAGTCTAATTCAGGACAATGGATACTATCAGTAAAAAGTGTCTGTGATTTGGTGATTGCATGCCATATGTAACACCAGCACAGTATTTGAGCATTTACCTGTTTCCTTACACAGTGTCTTGACTACATTTGATGCAATGTGGTAAAAAGTATCTTTTCCATGTTAAAAAAAAAGTTTTTTGACCTAACTATGCACAACGGTGATGCACAAAGTTTCTATTTTCTGCTACTTTGTGGCTGAACAACTGCATGTAATCACCTTAGAAGCTGAATATGTGCTTTATTTAGTGTTAAATGTTACCAGTAAAGGTTTAAAGTATGATTTATTGGAGGGACAGCAGCCCACAGTCATCCTGAGAAAAGAGGCCGAACATCTGCACCTATAACCTACCTGTTACAGAGGGAGTGATCAAGACCATATAGCAGACTGGCCGACCTTTCATACCCTACATACCCACAGCCATATCACCCTGCAGCCCAAGACTGGTTACTCACTGAAGCTAAGCAGGGCTGAGTCTGGCCAGTATCTGGATGGGAGACCACACTGGAAAACTAGGTTGCTGTTGTAGGTGGTGTTAGTGAGGCCATAAGGGGGTGCTCAACCTGTGGTTTGTGCAAGCCCAGTAAAAGTGAAGGGGACATTATACTGTCAGTAAACCCTTTCTTTCGTATGACATCTTAAACCAAGTAAGGGTGTAACCAAGGTGTCCTGGCTAAGTTCCCTCTATCGGCCCTTACCTATCATGGCCTCCCAATTACCGAATTGGCTCTATCACTGTCTGTTCGCTCCATGTATAGCTGGTGTATGGTGAGCGCACTATATTGTATAAATATTATTATAACTAGGCCTAAAACATCCTGACAATCAAAAACCAAATGACATGATATCACAGGCAGGCCCGGCCCTAACCAATTTGGCACCCTAGACAAGATTTCAGGTGGCGCCCCGTCACATAGCAGTAAATTCCACTGCTAGTGTACAGTCATAAGAAACTAAATCACTTTTTGATTGACTACTACAAGCTGGAAAAACATCTGATAAATATGCCAATGTAATTAACGTTATTGCTGAATAGATTCAATATTTACACATTTGCTTGAGGAAGGAATGATGGGGGTAGTTACATTACTATTATTATTTTCCATAACGTCTTTGCACTTCCATAACATTAGCTGACGTTAAAACTTACAGATAGCGCTATAGCTATTTATTGATTAGCAATCTGTCAACGTTGGGATGTAAAAAAATGGGACAAAAAATAGCTTCAAATGATAGAATACATAGCAAACATTAGAAAATATTGACAATAAAATAAAAGGTTTAGCCTATTAAAAGCAATGGCCTATACAGAAATTAAATAAAGCTATAAAATCTTTGATTGTATTTGCATATTGATTAAAGTTACTATAGTTATTTAGTGAAGAGAAGCAAATGAATCTCTCATTATTTTGTTTGATAACAAAGGTGTTCATGTGAGTGCACAGATCTATAATGAAGCATTCGACTACTTTAGTAACTGTTTGTGCTCATTAAAAAAAAAAAAAAAAGTTGTGTTTAAAGTAAAACACGCAGGACAGACATGTTTTCATATTTTTAAGTGTATTGTCTGTTTAAACACACTCCCGAATCTGAGCGGAGCAAAAAAAAAAAAAGAAGCACTTTTCCGACGGTCCCTTACTGAGAGCTCCTCTTAGCGCAAGCTCTCCTGGCTACACACATAATGCGACTGCTTAAACAGAGCAGGGCTCATTATGTCGAGCGAAAAAAAGAAAAAAAAAAAAGAAAGAAAAAGACAGCTGTGAAACATAACCAGCTTTGTCTTTTTGTAGGAAACACACTTTAGATCTTTTTAGGGTAAGAGGTTTTTGAGTTATTGCCGTCTATAACTGAAACTGAATAACCTTAGCATTTGCCTATACTGCCTATGCAGCGGGCCTTAGTGCAGATAAAACGTTTTTTTAAAGGTGCATTTGTGTATATATAGAGAGATATATGTAACTACATAGAATAGACAGAGATAGATTGATCTCTGCAGCAGCTGCCTAAGAGCTGCGCGCTGCAGACGCAACTAGTGTGAAAGGCAAACGCCTGCGTGCTGCTTCTGCTTTCCATACACGCTGCTCACGCACTGCTTTCGCTTTTGTTTATTTAATATAATCGCAAGATTTGCTGTAATGTAATCGCAGAGGCTGACATGGCAATTGTGATATGATTAATCGTGCAGCACTACCAGCACTAAACCTGTCCATTTTGTTGGGAGTGCAGTGTAGTGCCGTATTTTGCGCTGCTTAATTTGCTGAAAGATTCTATCATGTTACATTTGATGTGAAAATCAAATGCTTTTTGCTGGAACCTTTCGCATCACACATTGACGGGAAACAGAGTTACATTTGTTTCCCAGCATTATTGGTTTGTAGCACTATAAGTTAATTTTTATTTATTTTTTTTTGCTTTTTTTAATTGCATAACAACAAACGTCAACATTCTATCTCCATTATCACAAAACATTTAGACCAGCATTTGAAATGATCATAATAGTTCAGTAAGTCCTCTAGTTGTCCGAGCAAACATTTTTGTGAATTTAAATGAAGTCTATTAATCATCTAAACATAGATGGCTTGGCTAAAACAATACTAAATTTGGGCTCTTAATGAAAATATGTCTAAAATAGCTCAAAAGTAGACTAATCATCAAATATACAAAAGTGAATGACTACACATGAAGTTTGTATATTTGATGACTAGTCTAGTTTTGGCCTATTTTTAGACATCTGTTAGATTTTCAATGACAGCCCAAATATAGTTTTAGCAAGGCTATCTATGTATGCACATCTATTAAACACCACATTGTTTGGTGGGTGTTGATTATATTAAATACAGTACTTGATGTTGCTGTCGACTGGCTTGTGTCACTTCAGTTTTCCCAAGAATAGCACAAATACTACCTAGAAAATCATCTAGGGGTAAAATTAAAATAAAAAAAATGCTAAAAAAATCACAAGTGCAACATTGGACAGTGTTCTAGGGATTGAGTTACAGTTAGAGACTCCAAAATTGTTGTGGTTAATGATCCGACAGCCCTTTGTCAGTGTGCCATATTTCATAACTTCTAACCATATGGTCCAGTAGACTGTATAAGAGGCAACAAATAATAAAGGAACAAATTCAATAGTTGCATAGGCTTTTTCAGTGCTTGACCCCTAAAATAAGTATAAAATAAACAAGTTATTAAAGTGGTATCCACTATGAACAACATAATTTTAATAGGCTTGTCATTTATAATTGATTTAAAGTGAATGTGCTCTGCTAATCTACAAGTCTCTCATTCATTGTGAATGCAAATGTTCATGCATTGTGTTTTTAACTGCATTATGTAAACCATTTTGGAATGCAAGATGCCATTTAAGTTTGTTTTAAAAAAAGTTACTTGCATTCTAAATAATACAGTATATAAGAAAAGATTTTTAGTATTATACATTATTTATGTGAATACATTGATTATATAATGCATTGTTTCTATAAAATATAAATATAAAATAAAATGAACATTAAGGCAGAATATTTTGACCAATTTACAAAATATATAGCAAAAAATAGAACAAATTGTACTATATTTAATGATATATTCTGCTATTACCTAAATTCTTATTTATGTGTCCTGCAGGATTTAAAGCCAGCTAAATCTCACGAGTCTACCCACCACAATGGCCCCTCTGCTGGCCCAGTCCGGGGTGGCAGTAGCAGCAGCAGCAGCGGTGGTGGTCAAACTTCTTCTCAGGGGCCTCACAGATCAGAGCCTCAGCATCACGCCTCTCATCCAGCCTTGGGGCCTGAGCCTCCTCACGGCCAGCCCATGCCTCCTCCACCAAAACCATCTGGCCCGGCTGCACCATCCCAGCCGACACGCTCACCTCAGCGAGAGCCACAGCGGGTCTCACACGAGCAGTTCAGAGCTGCCCTGCAGATGGTAGTTGATCCTGGCGACCCGCGTACTTATCTGGATCACTACATTAAGATCGGAGAAGGCTCCACGGGCATTGTGTGCATAGCTACTGTGAAGACCACAGGCAAACTGGTGGCGGTGAAGAAGATGGACCTGCGAAAACAGCAGCGACGAGAACTGCTGTTCAATGAGGTTGGTGCAACACACAGGAAATTACACAGTTATTATTATTATTATTATTATTGGGGGTTTCAATTGTTAATGCAAGTTTGTGGTTGACAGTAGGGCTGTGCGATATGGCAAAATATCATACCCCGGTATCTTTAGGAGAAATAACAGTATACGTTATCTATCTGTTATTTTCCCATAAATGGTTAATTGAGAGTTAAAGCCTTTATTAAAACTTTATTAAACATTTTTTGAGCAAAATTTAATTCATACTCAGGGGTTTTACTCCCTGTTTACAAATAAACAGCTGCACAAAAATAACAGCTGCACAAAATCTTTGATAAATAAAATACAGTACAGTTTTTTATTTGCTTATCACTATACACAGCTCTACTGTGCTGTTGTGCAAATAACAAAGTAAACTGAAAAATTGAAAACAGAGCTACATTGTCATAGCAAAAAAGTAACACACCTAAATCATGTTGCAAAAAGTATTGTAAGATAGAAAAGAACCACATTGGATGTAAAAATGAAACGCACAGTATTTTTTGTCACAATTACAGTGTTGTTATAAGTAATCCTGTATACCACAGTTGTGTGATTTATAAACAACAATTGAATCAGCTATATATATTTTTTAGTTTTGGTATTAAACAGTGCACATATCGAAGATACCTAAAGATAAGTCTTTCACGTCATGTAAAAAATCCTACACTTTTTCTTTTTCGTTTTGTTTGACTAAACCTATTTTACTAAATATTATATTAGGAGATCAAAACGAATAGACTATAGATGTAAGAAGTAACGAAATAGTTTCAGAGTACTGAAATGAAATGCTTAAGCATATAAATGTAAACGGTTATTATAACAGACCAGAACACAGAGCTAAATGTGTAATAAAGTAAATGTAAAGAAGAGACCGTCGTGTATTATATACAGATCATATAATCTGTGAATATGAGGTGGTTTACTTTCAAAATGCGGTATAAACTCCTCCTATTTTGGAATTTATAATTCTCTTAAACACATTCAGGTGCTGCTTGTCAATTTGACAAGGCTTCTACTTTAGTTCTTGCTGTCACTTGCGGAAGAAAACATCGATAAAAGGTTTCTGATAAACCGCTGTGACAGCTGCAGGCACTGTGTGTCATATGTGCACGCGAGTCAGATAGATTTCTCACCACAACGTCAGTGTTGATATACATACATATACATATATATTGTATACACACGTGTGTGTGTGTGTGTGTGTGTGTGTGTGTGTGTGTGTGTGTGTGTGTGTGTGTGTGTGTGTGTGTGTGTGTGTGTGTGTGTGTGTGTGTGTGTGTGTGTGTGTGTGTGTGTGTGTGTGTGTGTGTGTGTGTGTGTGTGTGTGTGTGTGTGTGTGTGTGTGTGTGTGTATATATATATATGTGTGTTAGGGCTGCACGATATTGGAAAAAATTGACATTGCGATATTTTTTTTCTCTGCGATATATATTGCGATATTTTATATATATATATATATATATATATATATATATATATATATATATATATATATATATATATATATATATATATATATATATATATATATGTTTACTTAAAACTAGGGCTGTGACGGTCACCATGACAACCGCGTCACCGCGGTGGTCATTGCCACCTCGGTTGTCCATTGCCACCGGCCGTAGTACGTGACGTCACGCACTTTAAAACACAAATTACTGTTATGTTGCCAAGTATTACATATCTGTTAGAATATAACATTAGACGCGATTCAGCAAGTTCAAGTTCAACCATGAATCTTGTTAGAAAACGAACTCTTACATCTGGGAACATTTTGGATTCGTGCCGAACTAGAAAGGTGAACGAATCAATTTGGATTAAGCTTTTTGTATGGGGGTTTTAAGTAAAGTGTGTTTTAATATTCACTGCTGAGTGCTGAGAGTCCAAACACTGAGGAGCAAATCCATCGATACGCAGATCCACGGGTCCCGAACCATGCAAGTGGCGATTGACGGCGAGGGAAAAAAAGCCATGTAGGCTTAATCAACTCCTGTCTTCTAAACGCAGAAGCCCAGCTCAGCCAGGCATGGCAGAGGCATTTGCAAAAATGTCCAGATACAAAAGAGAAAGTGATAAATGGAAGACATTGACGAGAAATTGAGCATAGGCTATTTGGTAACTACAAGAACGCGCCGCTCCGCAGAGTAGAGAAACCTGCGTTGCGAGAAATGCGTGCGGCGGAACAGAAGGAGAAGCCCTCTATCGCATGGTTGTGAAAAAGTAGCCTGTCTGTGCATTTTTCGCTACAAGCACACCGTCTGACAGTGTATTGCTGGAAACTCCATTCTTCACTTAAACCGGACAAAGCCAACATGTTAGTTTTTCTGGCAAATAATTTAAAATATGACTACAAAAGGTGGAGAGAAACTACGCTGTTTTTTTAAACATCTGACTTATATTGTTACTAGGTTAATATTTTCTTTTTACTTACAATTATTAATATTTATATTATTATTACACTGATGAGTAAAGTGCCATTTAGAATTTTTGTTAAGTTCTTAAAAATGTAACGTTTAATTGTTATTATTATACAGTTTCAAGCAGTTAAAGTAATGTAATATTTAACTACAATATTTATAAACAGTTTTGTGTTGTTTTATTAACGAAAGTTCAAAAATAAACATGTACGTTTATACGGATGTTTTATTTATTAATATTAAATTCGGTTATTCCTTAATTTTTACATAAAAGGTAAATTAACTTAAGTAGGCTACATTATTTGTTGATGTACGAGATCGAGGAACATGTTTGCCAGTAAATAATGTTCGCACCACTTAAAAAACAAAACAAATGAATAACTTGCGAAAAGAATGAAATAAAAAATGCAAGCGCTTAATCATTCTTCACAATCGGATTCGTACGTGCAATAAGCCGAGGCTATATTGCGCCGACAAGAACAAGCCCTAAAACTAAGTCTAGAGAGAGAACTAATACTAGTTAATATTAATGATTATAAACACGAACTGCGTTGTATGATAAACGCATCACAATGATGTCGTGATCTTTGCTGATGAACTGATATGTTATCGCCGTCTCCCCAGCCAGGTTTTCATCTGCTTTTTTCCCCTTCTTCTGGATACAAACAATAAAGTATCAGCGCCAGACCAGTGGTTTAAATTATATTTTACTCTCCTGATTTCTTTTCTTTTCATTAAAAAATAAATAAATGTTTAAAGTTTTGTATTGCATAGCCTATATATTTTTAAAGATTATCATTCAGCTTACCTGCAGCGCATGAGGTTGTGTACTGGGCAAATCCCCTTTACTCATGCTACCCATTTCATTTATGACACTGTAAACTTGACTTGGCATGCTGATCATCTTTAAACTCAAAAGGTGTTTTTAACTTGAGACTGCATGCTTCTGCATAATGTGATGTTTCTTATTACAACTGTTAGCGGTGTCAAAATGAAAGCAAACATTAAAAAGGGTTTTGTTTTATCAATTGTATAGTTTAGTTTTAATAATAGCTAATGTATATAATAAATTATAATATCGATTATTGTGTAGACTACAATGTTCAACAAAACAATTTTATTAGGTTACTCTAATAGACCAAATCCCTAACTGAAAAACGAATGTGAAAATGACAGGCAGTTGCGTCTTTGCTAAAATTAATTTAACGACAAATTTCTTTTGCTTTTTTCCCCTTTAGAGATCAAAAGAGCAGTATTTAATTATTTCACTAAAACATGAATTGAATGCCCAGTTCTTTCCCGTGTGAGTTTAGTGCGCCTCCGCCGTGTCTGCGTTTTTAAGGTTACAGGTGCACCCTGACCTGACGCGGGGACCAGATCTGTGTATTGCTTTAATTTCTCAATTTTCATAACTGCATTGCATTTTCATATGGTAAAATATCAAAATTTATGTTCTGAAAGTAGTAGGAATGACGGGAGTGTTAGTAAATAACAGAAAGAACTTTCACTTTTGATTGAACTTCTGTCACGTGTTATTTTAGTATGATAAAATAAACAAAAATAGTAATGCAGAAAAGTATTTTTCGCTCTGCCAAGCCTTCTCTGTTGCTGTATAGAGAAGCAGCCTGCTCAGTGTCCTTACCCCAGCCCCACCCCACCCACCGACTCCTGAACGTCTCACTCACTAACTCACTCACTCACTCACGCGGGCATGCAGTGCGGTCTCATGAGGAAACGCAGCTTTTTGATATAATGTTTTTCTTGTTCCCAAATACAAATAATTTATCAAGTATTGTTTGAAATAAGTATTCGTAAAAACACGCTATTCCTGCTTTTCCGAATACCGTATTCCGGTTCGGCTCCACCCATAATATATATATATATATATTTTTTTTTTGTTGTTGTTTTTTTGCATCGCACCCTCCTGCGATGTGACTATCGCGGATGCGCACATCGCGATTTCGATGCTGAAACGATATATCGTGCAGCCCTAATGTGTGTATATATATGAAGTTTAATGCTCAGTTAAGTATAAAAAAATTATTCTTAGAAATATGCAATATTGAACTCTACTGAGACGAATTGAAAAAAGCATTATGAGGGTAAAAGAATTTTGGATTTTTTTTCTTTCTAAAACCCCCAAAATCTCAACTTAGAAACTGATGAAAGAGTGAAAAACTAAAAACTCTTGCCTGTAGGGTCTCAACTCAATGCTCAAATTTTAGAGCAAACTGCAGTGCTTGTAGATTGCATGAAAACGATTTTTGCTGGTTGATTTTTCCTCCAGCGTGTCTTTTGTGAGCTACTTAATGAGATGTTTAAATAGAATCGGTGCTTTGTTTCTAAGGTGGTGATCATGCGGGACTATCACCATGAGAACGTGGTGGAGATGTACAACAGTTACTTGGTGGGGGATGAACTCTGGGTTGTCATGGAGTTTCTGGAGGGCGGCGCTTTGACTGATATAGTCACACATACAAGGCAAGTGTTCCTTCCAAATCCAGCCACTAATTGCTTTTCAGTTACTATCCGTTATGTTACTTTCACACATCTGTTTTATTGCAAGTTGTAATGTTATAGTTTGTTAGATTTGATTAAATTGCAAGCCTCAAGCCAAGCCACAAAAATGGCAAATACATAAAAAAAATATAAATTAAATGTTGCATTGGAAATAATATATATGTATTATTAATTCAGTAATAATTTATTTATTTATTTTACTACCAAAGTAAATAAAGCCAATAAAGAAAGACAAATGTGTAGGGAATACAACAGTAAATAAAAAAATGTACCATATAAAAAAATTATAATCTAAATATTTTATTATAAAAATAAAATAATTTTCAATATTATATGCGGTCCATATTCTTCATTTACATTTATTTATAAATTTGTAATTATTTGTTTATTTTATTTCCCCTAAAGCCACCAAAATGAAAATAATCAAAGAAAAAAAACACCTATTTGAGAAATAATTTATAATACTGAAAATTGTCTATAAATGTCATACACACACATTGTGTATGCATTAGATTGTAGATAATTCAGCATTAGTGCATTACCACTAGGTGGCAGGGTAACACAGCTGTCTGATGTGGCACGCCAGTCATCTGCATGATCTTTTTAACAGTTTTGAATGATTCAAATTAAGTTTTAAGATTTGATGTTTGGTTGTTTTCAGGATGAACGAGGAGCAGATCTCCACCGTGTGTCTGTCAGTGCTAAAAGCTCTCTCAGTCCTTCACTCTCAGGGAGTCATTCATAGAGACATCAAGAGTGACTCCATTCTTCTCACCCATGATGGCCGTGTAAGTCTCTCACTTCTCTTTTCATCAGATAACCAGTCCATTTAGCTCTACCCTCTGCAGAAGAACCAAAGCCTTACAAGACATGTTTTGACTTGTGTCTTGAGTGTCTTAAAAGCTGCGCTACTTGCTGTCAGAGTATTGTTGTGCACATCAGTGTTTAAACAGGTTTGACAGAGCTCTTTCTTTAGTGTTCTCAGACCTTCACGTTCATTCCTGTGGGGTGATGATAATCAGTAAACTAAAACAGAATTACATTGCTGATAAAATCTCGAAACCACAATAACATTTCATTTGCTTACAAGACCTCAAACCATGATACTTTTCACAATCTGTTGCTCGTGAAGAGCATTATTCAGCCATTTGCTTGGCCTTCACAGAAATCTAATTCTGCAACTTCCGACTCATGCCTTTCTTTTTGTTGCTGCTGAAATAGGCAGTGGTTTGTGTCGACTGGTCTGTGTCTGTGGTCGATGCAAGCGGAAGTATGTTCATCCACCCTCAGCTGTTTCTCGGCAGGGGCTGATTTTGTGTGTGTGTGTGTGTGTGTGTGTGTGTGTGTGTGTGTGTGTGTGTGTGTGAGACCTTAGTTGTTTCATTTCCTCTTGCTAATTTCTGACGCTGCTTATCATGCAAGATCCCAGAGGACATCGTTTCTTATATAAAGTTAGTCAAGCAAGCATTGCAGAAGCTTTTACTGAAAAGTTTGATGGGCTTCATTGATGTTAAATCAAGCAATAATTAGAACTACTTGGTTTTACATGTTTTTTTTTGCTGCGTAACTTCATGCAGCACTGAATATTTTAGAACAGATGGTGGTGCTTGTCACTTTTAAACCATCGGCAAATGGTTATTCACACATTTACAAATGTCATGATTTGTATCCACAGTAAAGATGTCAGCTGTACTGTTGTTTTGGTACTAGAATTATAGTAAAATGGAATGAAACGAGTTCTGACTCGATACTGATCTGAGAGCTGGTTTTGACTTGCTTGTGCATGTGGTCTGCAAGTGAGTAATCGTGCACTTGCAAAATATCATCTTGTGGTTGTATTAATGGATAACTTAACAGACTTACCATTAGCTATGTTTCCATCCAAAAATAGGAATTAACTATTAGTAAAACTGGAATATTGTATAAAAGACGTGCAAATAAAGCAGCGTTTCTATCCAACGAGTCAAAGGGGGGGACAAAATAGTCACTTCCAGATTAACTGGTGCCAAATAGTAAAAACGGAATTTGCTGCTGTAAGAGAAGCTGCATGAATCTTTACTTATTTAATAAATGACTTGCGCATGAGAAGACAATACCAACATGCAAGGAATGTGTGGTGGAGTTTGAAGGCACAGACACTGTTGACAATTCTGGAGGTAATTAATAATATAATAAGACTAATACTGAAACGGTTCAGGCGTTTTAGAATGACCAAAACAAGTTTCAGATGTTTTAGTGTGCTCAGCCTGCTGGTTTGTCCATTCACACATTTTTAACAACACATGATCTCTTATAACAAAATCACGTGGTCTAATGCACAATGGAATTTGTTCAGAAGTGTTACTATCATAGTTTATGGGCATCTTTTCTTATTGAATAAAAGGTTTATTCTACTCCGTTATGTGCATATGTTTTTTTTTATGTGCATTTTTAAAAGTTATATGCATCTAGGCTTTTCCGTCAATCGATTTATTAATTTATTTTTAATGTGCATACCAAAAATGCGAATAGGTGGATGAAAATATATATGTAGTCTCTATTACTGTTGGTTTTAAGTGTGGAAAAGCAGTTTATTGATGGCCCATGCAATGGCCTGTGTTTGTCCTCTTTTGTAAACAAAAATAGACACTAATGGTCCAGTGAAAATTAGAAATGCACCAAATTAAATTTGCAAAAAATATTAAAGACATAACATATGGTTTATGCTTGAAATATTTTGTTTACTTCAGCAATCAAATGAGTACTAATAGTATTTTGAAAAAAGTGGAACCGTATAAAAATGTGACGTGCACATTTAAAACTTGAATGAGGATGTAGACAATGCAACGTGGACAATTGTTTATGCACTGACTCTTGGATTTTAAAATTTTTCTCCAAAAATGAATTGAATTTTATTTAATTCACAGCTAGTATTTTAGGAGTGTGCATGCAAACAAACAAAACCCTTATTTTGTAAAATACTTAAATGCATCATTTTATGAATTTTATGATCAAATTATGTTTGTATCAATACATCTCAACTTTTGTATGTTCTATTTATATCTACTGTGCTCAGCAAATATGACACCCCATTTTGAAAATGAATATTTTATCCATTTCTCAGTGAATACGGGTAATATATTTTGGTGCATTTGAACAAAACAGTTTTATTATTAGATATATTTATTAAACAGATATTTTAGTCACAGAACATCTTTATAATTGCAAAGATAATATATTTAAAATCATACAAAATACTGCAAAAAAACTACAACATTCCAACATTTTTTTATGTGTGTATATATATATATATATATATATATATATTTATTTATTTATTTATTTATTTATTTATTTATTTCTCTTCATTTTAGCTACTTTTAAAAATGGTATTTAATATTTCCCCTAACATATAAATTTAGGCTACTAATTTTTGAACCATTATTGTAAGTTATTTTGTTAGAGAAGCTCCAGATTATACTGACTGACTAAACTAATGTATATGCACAAATATAATATTGTTAAGCTTCCTATAAAAAATACTAATTTGTATTTGCTGAGCACTGTAAATGCACTGTGGTGTCATAAATGACTTGTGGGTTGGTGTTGTCATGACACCAGCAAGTTTTGTTTAAATGCTAAAAAAAAAAAGAGGATTAATAACCAGAAGGCGCAAAATAAATCCAATCCAATGAAGAAGCCAAACTAAACGGAAGTATCCATTTAACTTGGGCAAGTAATTCAACTTCCACATTTTCAGTTTCATCTGTTCTCATTTGCAGGTGAAGCTGTCAGACTTTGGTTTTTGCGCCCAGGTCTCTAAAGAGGTGCAGCGCAGAAAGTCTCTGGTAGGAACGCCCTACTGGATGGCCCCTGAGCTCATCTCAAGACTCCCATATGGACCAGAGGCAAGTCACGTCCCCTTTTACCATTCTATTGCATTACCGCTGACAGCACTGTAGCTCACACACAAATAAAACCATTTCTGCAGGTGGACATTTGGTCATTTGGCATTATGGTCATCGAAATGGTGGATGGAGAGCCGCCGTACTTCAACGAGCCACCGCTCAAGGCTATGAAGATGATCCGAGACAATTTGCCACCCAAGCTCAAAAATCTCCACAAGGTAAACCAGATTATCTATAAGAGGGAAATAAACCTGAGCACAGTTGGAGCTTCTTTCTTATACAGAGTGCTTCGTTCTTCACAGGTATCGCCTCTTCTCAAGGGATTCTTGGACAGGATGCTGGTGCGAGATCCTGCCCAGAGAGCCACAGCTCAAGAGCTGCTAAAACATCCCTTCCTGACTAAAGCAGGCCCTCCCTCCTGCATTGTTCCTCTCATGAGACAAAACCGCATGAGATGAGAAGAGAAGTCAGGGTGGATCTGACAGGCCCTCCGCTGAGCTCAAAGACCCAGGCAAAAACATGGAGTCTGTACTGCACACTTTAAATGATTGTACAGGTCAAGAATTTAAGGAGAACAGGCCATTGATGCTACAATTTTTTTTCCCTAAACAAACATTTATACCACTGTTTTTATTACATTAGAGGATACAGCACATGACATAGACATGATTAGGTCCTTCACAGTGTTCTGCTGGAAGAGGTTTTCCTCTCTGGCAAATTTAAGGAACACACAAACCATGTGTTCTCGGTGGTTTTGCCAAGTCTGCTTTGGGGTAAACCGAATTAAGAAGGTTGAGACGTTATGAAAATGAACCACTTGGAGATCCTAATCTGCCCTTAGTGTAAAGCAACCTTTTGATGGATTTGTTCCAAACCTCGAGCTTTCTTTTCCCTGCACTTGACCTTTTGCACCGTGACCACACTACTCAATAATCAGTTATTAATAGGAAAGCAACTACTGAAGAAAACCTTTACGTTTTATTAAAAAGAATGCAAATCTCTAGGCTTCTGTTACGACACTAAGCAAAGATAAACACTGGAGGCATTTCGTTTTTTAATTTTGTTTTAATGAAAGTTGAGCTCTATATTGGTTTGTGTTTCGAGTGACAGTGATGCTCTTAAACACTGTTCTGAGCTGCACTCCAATATCAAACTTCCTCCTTTGACTCATTGTTCCACTTTTTTAATATAATTAAGGGGGGAAGGGTTGGATGTAGGTTTTTTTTTTTTCTCTCTCTCTCTTCCAGAACATTCACAACGGCACCACGCCATATTAGTTAAGTAGATGGAGTTGTTGTTTTCAATGTAGGGCAGTCATTTCACGGACGCCCAAATCCTCCAGCTAAGTAGCTTACATCTTTGAGGTATCGTGGCCTTTCTCTGAAGGATTCATTTTGTCGGAGAGACTATACGAATGTATAGTGTGCGTGAAGGATGCTCTACTTTGAGAGCTTGTTCAAAGGAAGTGGACACTATAGTGAATAATTCCACACTAAAGCATTTGTACTGAGATAATTGGTCATTTACACTATGGGTAGTGGAACAACCAAAGACTTGCTGACGATTTATAATAGCAGTTGCTCCAAACATATTCCAAGTACACTACGTCTCATTGTGTTAAAGAGATAGGTCACCCAAAAAATTAATCTTTCCTCATCATTTACTCAGATTCAAATGGTTCTAAACTTGGTGGTTTCTTTCTTCTGTTGAACACAAAACAAGACGTTTTGATGAATGTCGGAAAAAAGCAGCCATTGACATAGTAGAAACCAAAAATAGTAAGGAAGTCAATAGCTGCTGCTTTCCAACGTTTTGTCTTCGACAAAAGAAACTCAAACAAGTTCAGAACTGAGTAAATTTCCAAAACTTTACTAAACCGTATGATACAGATTGGCCGATACATAATGCACTCACAGATGCCAATCATCAACAACAAAAACACTTGGTTTTGTCAGATCAATGTGTAACCTCTGATTGACTTCAAATGGAGTTTGCCAAGTTGTGAAAATATCTTGTAATCTGGTGATTGGCTGTTTTGATTGAAGTCTGTCAATGCATCAGCCTTTTAACTTGTTTTTGGACCCAATTGACTTACAGTATGGCCAAAATAGTTAGTTATTTTGTTCACTACAAGAAAGTCAGTCATACAAGTTTTCATATTTGGGTGAACTGTCCCTTCAAGAGTCTCTCTTTATTTTGCTCAGCCACAATAATCCAGGATCAAAGTGGATCGAGAACGCTGACAAAATTGATAGGAATGCAGAAGGCAGATGAAATATTCCTATTCGATGGAGTGACTCCACACAAATACTAAACAAATCATTGAAAGTCAAACGAATGCATGTTTGGTCACATTTGCATTCAGTAATTTGAAGATGAATTGTAGCGATTTAATCCTAGACTAAAGTGGTAGCTTATGTATATATGAGTTTGTTGTTTTCTTTTGCTGAGGGCCTAAACTGTAACACTGCAACCATAACTCTAATTGTAGATGTGAAGAAGATTAATGACAGTTATTGACAGACATAATTAATATAAAAAAATACTACTAGGGTTGGTTTGTTTGTTTGTGTTTTTTTTTTTTTTTCCCACCAGTAAAAATTTTATGGCATGTCTTTACATACTGGACTGCGCTACTTCTTCAGGACGCAAACAGAATGACAATCAAGCATCGGAGTGGAAGTATGCGCACTAAATGCCTATTCAGACATGAATAAGCAATGAAACTGAGAGAATTTTGTAGCCTCACGTTTATCTGTGAAATATTGCTAGGATTGTAGATTAACATCTTCAGTGCACTGAAGCAAAATGAGGTCAACATTCCTATAAAAACAGGAAAAAAAAGCCTTATAAGGAAAGTTGACCCACAAATGTAAATGTGCTGTTAATTTACTCACCCTCAGGCCATCTGAGATTTCTTTAGTAGAACATTAAAGGTTTTAGCTGAAGCTGTGTTCCTTGGTGATTCATAAATTGGACGACTACCAACACTGAGTCAAGAAAAAAAAAGACAAAACAAACACCTGTGTCTGCTGATGGTACATTGAGTCCTTATGAAGCAAAACAATTAGCTTTGCGCACAGACTGATAATTTCGCTTCATAAGACATCAATGTCTCGTCTGTAGCCATGGGTATCTGTTTTGTTTTGCCTGCATAGTTTTTGACTCCGGAAATGCTGGTAGCTGTTGACTTGCATTTTATCAACGATGACCACAGTTTCTGCTGAAAACAAATATGTGCGCTACTGAAAAATGAAAGTTGACTACATCTTTGAGTTAATTAATAACTAAATTTTAATTTCTGGCTGAACTACCCTTATAATGCGTAAATATATGAACATTATGAGCAATAGACGTTTCACAGTACTTTTTTTATTAGGTTTATTGACTGTTTGAAAAGCAGATACCTCCTATGACCACAAGCCTTATTTGATTGGGTGTGTGAATGGATGATGCTTTACTGCAAGCAGAATGCATGAGTTTGTGACTCAGTGAATGTGTTTTGAATGGCTTCTAGAAAGGACTTCTCTATTTTCTGACTTACATTCCCATGGTCGGTGAAAGCACATTCTCGTGTGTGTGTGTGTGTGTGGTCAGGTAATGATCTGCTTTTTGTGTGTTACGTTTCCTGTTTCATGTTGTCATTTGGTGCTCAAAAGCAGTGCTGCGAATGCTCTGGAAGGGTACATTGTATTACGATACGGTTTCATCCGTTTTCTGTCACTGCATTAAAACTAATGAATGGCCCATATTCTGCTGTTGACTCATTTTAATAGGTTTCTAATTAACTTGCACTGCGTTTTTGAAATCTCTTTTACCGTAATTTCCTTTTTTTCGTCATGTAGATAGTTTCAAAGAAACATTGGTGGAGTCGAAGCGTGAACTTTATGTACTCATTGCAGGCATCCTGACATCATAATGATGTTGCCCCATCTTTCACAGACTCCTTTTGGACTGCGTTCAGATCAACTTTTATTTGAAAACTGCTACTGTGTTATGACATGTAAAATGGTTCATACTGCTTCTGCTGTTCTCTCTTTTTGTTTCTAAGTATGGTTTGTTTTGCTGAATAACCAACGTCAGAGTTCCCTCTATAATATGTGAATTTTTACTGGTGGTAAAATGGACTTTATTATTATTTTTCAAATATAGTTTGAAACATCTTCTGGCTCCTGCATTTCACTCAGATGTGGTAGTGTGATTTATTTTTTTCTTCGTAACCTTTGATTTCACTCTTGAAATGAGTCTTCAGGATGTCAATCATTTAGGTACTTAGGAGAAGTGATGTTTTTAAGTCTTACTGTGTGTGCTATTTATCTAGATCAGAGATGCCCAAACTTTTTCTTATGAAAGGCCAAAAACCAAACTTGATTGAGGGTGGTAAGCTGAAACTAGATAAACTAAACTGTATCACATTAAAGTGCCATCTAAAAAAAAAATCACACAAATAAATTGCAAAGATTTCATGCTACTGTTATTTCTTAAAGTAAATTACATTAGTGTCACCTTACAGAATTTAACTGTTAAGTTTTATGCATTCAGATTTTTATTTTAGGCATCATTATTACAACAAATTAACTTTATCTTTTGCACAGTAAGTATAGGAATTCAAACACTATTTATTCAATGTAGAAATGAATACACATTGTTGGCGCAATAGCCTAGTGGTTAGGGCACTGACATATGATGGAGTAGCACATCTCCAACTTCGCTTCCTGTCTCAATACTGTCCTATTTAAAAAAGTTAATAAATGAATACACTAAGTTTTATGTTAGTACAGGCACTTTTTTAATATTTAGAATTATTTACAAAATTATTATTATTATGAAGTACTTTACAGTTATTTACTGTGAATTTACATACAGTCAACTTTGGCCCTGGGGCCCTAGTCTGGGCATCTGTGATCTAGATGGTGTTAACTGGGAAAGTACTGTCAGTGAACATCAAAAACTTGGAAAAATGTGTTTAATAGAATAATATGAATTATAAATGCATATGCATAAATTATATTTTATTCGCATTTTCATTACATGTTATGTTTAATATAAATGTATTATATTACATTAATATTCATATGCATTAGTAGACTGGTTGCTAATAACATTTTTATGTATGCATTTGCAAATGAACACACACACATACATATACAGTATATAATAGGGCTGCATGATATTGGAAAGATGTGACATTGCGATATTTTATCATCTTGGAATTATAAGGTTCTATCTGCATTCTGATTGATTTTGAGATTTTGAGCTTCAAAGTATTTGCATTCCATAGCAAACAGTGTGCGTAACATTTGTTTTTTAAATAAAAAGTCTTAATGTAAACAACTTTTAAAAAAAGCATCCCATTATATAAATAAGTTATCATTTAATAAGAATATGTCAATAACTCCGTTTTGATAAAAAGGTCAGATTGAATCTTATAATTCTAAGGTGACGATTTAATTCTGCGATTATGTGTTCCGATATACTGTATCTATGTAGCTGATTGACTGGCACCATTTGGAAAGAATTTATAGTCACAATTTATTTTAAGGTTAATTTCTCACTATTAGCAATCCATTGACTGACTTTTGGGCGACGCAGTGGGTAGCACGTTGGCCTCACAGCAAGAAGGTCGCTGGTTCGATCCTCGGCTCAGTTGGCGTTTCTGTGTGGAGTTTGCATGTTCTCCCTGCGTTCGCGCGGGTTTCCTCCGGGTGCTCCGGTTTCCCCCACAGTCCAAAGACATGCGGTACAGGTGAATTGGGTAGTCTAAATTGTCCGTAGTGTATGATTGTGTGCGTGTATGTGTGGATGTTTCCCAGAGATGGGTTGCGGCTGGAAGGGCATCTGCTGCGTAAAAACTTGCTGGATAAGTTGGCGGTTCATTCTGCTGTGCGCCCCAGATTAATAAAGGGACTAAGCCGACAAGAAAATAAATGAATGACTGACTTTTGCTTCAATAACATCCAAATTTGGTCTTTATTTATAATTATTAAGGTAGTTTAGGTATTGAGTATGATGTAGAATGAGATCACGCAGAATAGACCATTTTAGGGATGTAAACAAACACAATGGTCCCAACATATTTTCTGTTTAACATTTTTAATTTCCATAGCTTCAGAGAACCCCAAAAGAGCCACATATTGATAAATAATATCATGATAGCTGTTTTAACATTAAGTTAAGATTGTATTGCCTCTTGTTACAGTTATTAAATAGTTTGATAACAAGAAGGAAATGTTCATAGGCCAATGGCATCACCACATTGAAATGGTCTAAACTAATTAGCAGCCAATATTTTAATAACACATGCTAATAAACATCTAGTTAATAGTGAGAATTGATCTTTAGAGTGTTATCAAATGTTTTCATTTTGATTAATTACCATAATTCTTTAGGCAAGTGAATCATGCATAAAATGTAAAAGAAGAAAAAAAAAGTTACACGCAGGTAAATATAATAATAAAGCAAAGGTAAAAGTAAATTAAGCAGTGCATGTTTGGTGGTTGTGTAAATGTAAAAAATACACCGCAAAGTCTTTATTTTATAGATAATTTAATTGGTAAAATTAAAGATTTAACTTTATTAGGTAAAATATGAATGTGATGTGACTATTGTGGATGCACACATTGCAAAATATCGACGTTGAAACGATATATCGTGCAGCTCTAGTATATATCCAGTTTATATTAGCCATATTGACAACACTAGCTATGTATTAATACATTTGTAAGCTAATATAATGCTTAACATTCATACATGTATTGACTACTTTAATCAGAACTGAAATGCAGTCTAGATAGGGAGTATCTCTGTTTTATTGAGATACCGATGTACATTTTGTAGTTTAGTCTCTCAAACTCACTCTTGTTTTCACTTTCCCCTGTCATGTTTCTGTTTTTCTGTCTCTTCCTCGGGTTTAAATGTAAATGAGGAAGCGGTGCGCTTTATGTGCGGTCTTAAAAATATTTGTATATGTTTTATAAAACCACAATACCATTTTTCCACGAATTGTCTTCCGTTTCCAGAACATGACGGCAGATTGAAGGCAGTCCTTTCTCTCCGCTGTGGGGCGGAGCTGACGTGAACGCGCATCCCGGCGACCTATCAGAGCTCGAGCAGCGGATGAAAACTCAGCTGTGCAGTGAGTCATCTGACAGCTGCTGCTCTCGAATAGATGCACTTGTTGAATCAGGTCCCATTGAGCAGAGGGGGACTCAGGTTGCTCGTATCATCTGAAAACATTTGACCGACATCTTCTAAATGAAGGCACACTAAAGAAGCGACCGGGCTACGACGATTTAGAACCTCCCAGCGAGACGCATTTTCAGGTAGGTCTCGTTTTGGTTGTGACTTTTGCATACAATGCGATGCTACAATAAGGCTTTTGTGCACCTGTCTGTCTTTTCACGATGAGCGTGTGAATGTGCCATTGAATTGTGTGCAGTGTTGTTGTAGTTCACAGAATCCGCAGTGTAGATTAATGGCTTCATTTGCAAAGCAGAGGAGTCAAAGATGATCAGTTTGTGTTTGACGCTCGTCAGCGATGCTTATCAATCATCATCCTCAAATTGAGCTGCCAGTTATTAATATAGCACAGCATTTTAATTCTGATTCTTTGCAGCAGTGTGTGTGTGTGTGTGTGTGATTATAATCGATCGTGTTTGTGGACCATTTTATTGTCGCTATGGTTTTTAATTTCTGATTTTAGGAACACGAGTATATAAATAATACTGTGACAATACATTCATGACATTTTACATGTGTTTATTTATATATTTATTATGTTTATTAAGTTCTATATGCAAACACGTTATATTATTGTGTATATGCATGCATATTTTGCCATGATTTCTTTGTTAATCTAAAAATTCTAATCTTTTCCTGTATGTAATTATATAATGTTTAAAATATCTAAAAATGATTCAGTGTCATTTTACTGCTTTTCATTTTTAGTTTTTTGAAGTTATTAATATTTATTTGTAATAATCAGCTACTGAATATACCTTTGTCCATTTAAAAAGCATACATTTTAATGCATAACATTTTAGATGTATGCATGTAGGGTATATATGCATAAACAATACTGCTATTATTATATCAATCAAATCTTTAATTGTTTTGGATTTAATTTATTTTGTTGCATTTTTTTTTCAGATTAAATTATTTTGTTAAAGATAATTATTATTTTAAGATGTTAATAATAATTAGTTTAAACATTTAGTAAGATTTAATTATGAAATTAATTATGAATCTATCTCTAGTCTGTTCTGCAGTCATGAAGCGACAGTAGAACATGATGCACATAATTTGCACTATGCTTTTGCATATAACCTAGAATTGCAGTATACATCTATATAACTGTGCAAAACCTGCTTACAGGTGACATTAAAGATTGTAGACTCGCATTAGAGTTACACCGATTAATCGTGTATTCAGAAAAAGTGGTGGCAGCAAGCCGCCCACGTTGTGGTGTATTTTGTGCCAGGCTTATGTGTGAAAATGTCATGCTGCCAAGAAGGGACAATCCCGCATGCTCCACAGATGACTACACTCTTTTGCAGATAGCAAAGCAAACGCTCAGTGTTTATGCTTCTTAACATGTTTTGTGTAAGCCCTGCACCCCTTTGTGGTAAAGCTGCTAGTCATTTTAAGACCACTATAGAGTATGCCGTCCTCACATTTAGTGTCATCTTGGCATGGGAAGTTGCACTTTTGATTGTGCAGTTTGTGTTATTGTAGGGTCAGGGTGGGGTGTTTGCCAGCTGTTTCACATGCAGCTGTAGATACACCCCTTCCCTTTCTGAGAAACCACACCAACAAGTGGTTATTGCTTTAAAACTAGTTGCAATTTATATTTTACTAAAATAGTTCACCATCAAACAATAAAGTAGGTCATGGCAGATTCGCTCATTCTCAGGTTTTGCCAATCTTGTATGTGTTTATTTCTTCAACATTGAAGAAGATATATTTTATGGATATCAGGGCTGTTCAGTGTTTATCCTCTGATAATATTGCAGTTTGTGTTTTAGAGTTGACACTGTTCAGTATGTCACTCGTTTTGGAATACCATTAAGTAAGTCAGAAGTCTATTAGTTAGGTTCAGCCAATAATTCAAGAAAGACAAAACAGAAGCATCTCAAATTATACAAAGTAAAAATGTACTGACTTAAAACAGACACAATGTTGTCAGTTTGTTTTTTTTCGTCAATGAAAATAGTCCAATCAAGCAGGAGCAGAACATTTGTGCATGATTCCTTAATGAATCTAGCAAGCAATAACATGTTTGGTTTCCATAATCTCCTCTTTTGGTGAGGTACATGGAAAGATCCGTCTAGTTTAGGAGAATGTGCTGGAACTTTCTCTTTCAAATACTTTATAAGTTGCTGCAAATAGGAAAAAAACACTCCCTGCATGTAATAGGAAGGTTCGTTTTAGGCGGGAAAAAACATACAGAGAGCTTTCCAAGAAAAATCAGATTGGATTCCAAAAAAAAAAAAAAAAACAAGTATAAATGAAAGGGGAACTACATGGGAATGTTAGGGAAATGTTCTGTGTTTGCAGGGAATCTGTTTTTAAATGAATGATTCCCTGATATATTCATAAAGCAAATCACTTGATCAACTAAATGAATCAACCATTTTGAATGAAACTTTTGAATGGATAATTCAATGAATCAGTCATAAAGACATGAACTTGCTGTCACCTATTGGTGCATTTATTCGCACCTGCTAACATTTGTCTCTGAAATGTGTTTGTTTGAATAACAGTTAAAAACCAGGGTATTAACTGTACTATGGACCAGGTTTCGAGCCGCCAGTATCAAAGCTGGCGACTGAGGGGTGTAACAGACTGTACTAAAAAGCTGAGGGTGAAATTACGAGAGTTTTCCAAATGCAATAGTAAAACAGGAGGGTGGTGAGAGATGGGTCTGAAATATGGGAGATTCCCAGGGAGTGTTGGCAGGTATGCTTATACTGACTTATTTATTTATCCATGACAGGCTTAACTCAGCCTAAAGAAATTGAAATCTAAAGTAAACCACTCTGAACCAAACATACTGATCCAAAGTATTGTATTCAACCAGAGGATGAGTGATATGGGAACCATATGGGAATGTTAGGGAAATGTTTTATGTTCATAGGGAATCCGTTTTTATTCTGTTTTAAATGCATTAAGTGAGCCTGTTCTTCAATGATCTATTCAAAAAGCAAGTCACTTACTTTGTTTCTAAATGAATCAACCATTTTGAGCGAAACATTTGAATGAGTCATTCAATGAATCAGTCATAAAGACGTGAACTTGCTGTCACCTATTGGTGCTTTTACTGACTTATTTATCCATGACAGGCTTAAACCAGGCTTAAAATATAGACATATATTATAAACCACCCTGAATTAAACATTCTGATCCAAAATATTGTATTCAACCAGAGTCATTCATGACTAAATTAAAATTTGAATCTGATTAATGCTCGGACGTAACATTTCAATCCATCAGGTGCAAGACTCAAACTTGTGCATCAATTCAGACGTGTTTGTAACCTTTCACCTTGTTCGCATGTCAACACTTTGTGAACACTGTATTGTATATGTGTGTTTGTGTGTGCAGGACAGGAGTTTTGATGTCTGCTCGGCGATCATCTCTCTGGTCATGTCTGCGTGCTGCTCTGAGCTGCGGGCTTGTCATGCTGACAGCACTGCCAGACTTAACCACAGGTATGAAGATTTCCTTTCAGCCCACCACATCTTCCTCTTCCAGATAACCAGTCATAAACTTCCTGTGAAAGCCGCTAGTAAAGATTGTCAAATAATCTTTTTTTGTTGCTTTGTGTGCACTGTAGCTATCACATCTGATGCCTATCTATTCATTTAGCTTTAAATAAAATGATAAAAATATGTCAAATTCAGAATTAAAATGACTTGAATGCACATCATTTGCTACAAACACATTTTCGAAAGTTTACCCTAAACTATTCGGAGACGGTATATAAAGTGTGGGGTGACAGTGGCTTGGTGGTTAGCACTGTCGCCTCACAATAAGTTCTCTCCGTGTTCATGTGGGTTTGGTCCGGGTGCTCTGGTTTCCCCCACAGTCCAAAAACAAGCGCTATAGGTGAATTGAATAAGTTAAATTGGCCATAGTGTATGAGTGCGTGTGTCAATCTGAGAGTGTATGGGTGTTTCCCAGTACTGGGTTGCAGCTGGAAGGGCATCCGCTGTGTAAAACATATGCTGGAGTAGTTGGTGGTTCATTCTGCTGTGGCGACCCCTGATAAATAAGGGTCAAAAACGAAGGAAAATTAATGAATTCACATTTTTTTTTACAACAAACCTGTTTTAAATAGTCAAAATAAATTTAGGTATTTTTGGAGTGTGTAAAAAGTGTCAGTAATGACATTTAACCATATCATTGTTATGTATTATAAATGTGTGTGTATAATATGATTAAATAAATTAGTATATACGCAGCTAGCTCTCGGCAGCTCTCACATGGTCACCCACTGAAGCTAAATAGGGCTGTGCCCGGATGGGAGACCACATGGGAAAGCTAGGTTGCTGTCGGAAGTGGTGTTAGTGAGGCCAGCAGGGGGCACTTAACCTACGGTCTGTGTGGGTCCTAATGCCTCAGTATAGTGATGGGGACTTTATATTGCTCCGGAGTTTAGGAGTTTAACCCCGGCATCCTGGCCAAATTTTCCCACTGGCCATCAAGGCCTCCTAACCATCCCCATAGTTAGCTTCATCACTCTGTCACCTCTCCACCAACCAGCTAGTGTGGGGTGTGCGGTCTGGCATAATATGACTGCCGTAACGTCATGCATTGTGGTGGATAAGGAGATTTCCCTCAAAAATATGTAGAGTGCTTTGAGTGTCCAGAAGAGTGGTATATAAATGTAAGGAATTATTATTAATATTATTAATATTATTATTATTATTATTACAGATTGTATTAGTATCATTACATATTATTGTATATTGTTGATCATCATACATAAGTTTGATGTATATTATTGTTCATTTACTAAATTTATTCAAAATTGCTTCTCCTTTGCTGTATATTTACCACCAAATGTCAAGTGGTGCAACCGGCATGCAAAAATCAGATGTAGTAATGTGACCAAAAAAAAGAATAAGGGCTTAAGTTTACCTATTCTAATTGTTCCTTCTTAATTTTTAATTGTTTTCTAGGCAAGAATTGCTCCCATCCAATCATGCATGAGCATGGAGGTTTTCGTTGTGAGCCGTCACCCTGTCGTGGTTTCCCTCAAAAGAGCTCCATTCGCTTCTTCTGCGAGCCTGGCTACACTTTACCCAAACGCTACCAATCGTCAAAATGTCACCATGGGGTGTGGACACCGAAAGTGCCTGTCTGTATGCCACGACCAGGTAACAATACAGAGAAAATACATTTAATTTACATCTTAAACACTTTGCACAACTACCATTTACAAAAAAAAAAAAAAAAAGCTGACGCAAAATACTTGAAGCAACTCAAAATTTCCCTATGCATCAGGAGTTCTGCATTCTGAATGAAGTATGTGTTAAAATGGGCATTGCATAAGCAGAACCATTAATAAATGGCCTGAATAATCCCCTTCCACCCGGTAGTGACACAAACTCTTAAAGTAAAAGGGGAAAAAACCATGATGCTCTATTCTCTGCACACACTTCCTTCGTCTAGACTAAAACATGTCATGAAAGGAAACCCACAGCTTGTGCAGGAAGTCAGCAAATTCATCAAACTAACCAATCTCAGTGTTTTAGTAAAGCCTTTGGAAAATGTTTGCATCACAGAATCAGATTTTAAAGGATGCATGCACCACTCGACCATTTATTCCACAAATCTTGATCGTCATCATCCGCTCTTTATTTTTGAACATCAGATTTGGGGTTTTTTGAAGGAAGTCTTTAAATGGTTTGTGTTTGTGTGTTTCTTTTTTAACAGACGGTCATGGTGAACAGCAAGAAAAAATCATCAGCTCTATTCCGAGTGTGGCTACGACTGCTATTGGAGTGTCCATCTTCCTTCTCACCACAACGGCCTGTTTAGTCATCAAATCCCGCCTGTTCTCCTGCCGATCGCATCGGTATGTCATTTCCCTAGATTTAGGATCATGTGACACTTTAATTAAACACATTTTAAAATGGATTCCATTGAATACATTTAAAATAAAGTTTAAATGTATTTAAAAAAATGCAAATATGATTGATTGAGACCATAATTGTCCATTTTATTTAAATGACATTCATGCATAACCTAAAAGCTGAATAAATTATCTTTCGATTAACGTATACTTTGTTAGGATAGGACAATATTAGGCTTAGGAATAAAATATATAAAATCTGAGGGTTTAAATGATCAAGTGTTGATATTTACAGTAGAAACATTTACTAAATGTTTACTTAATATTCTAATGATTTCGGTATAACGAAAAAACAATATTTTTGAGCCATACAATATTCATTCATTCATTTTCTTGTCGGCTTAGTCCCTTTATTAATCCGGGGTTGCCACAGCGAAATGAACCTCCAACTTATCCAGCAAGTTTTTACGCAGGGGATGCCCTTTCAGCCGCAACCCATCTCTGGGGAACATCCACACATACATTCACACACACACTCATACACTACGGACAATTTAGCCTACCCAATTCACCTGTACCGGGAAACCGGAGCACCCGGAGAAAAAACCCACGCGAAGGCAGGGAGACTCCACACAGAAACGCCAACTGAGCCAAGGTTCGAACCAGCGACCTTCCTGCTGTGAGGCGACAGCACTACCTACTGCACCACTGCCTCGCCTCAGCCATACAGTATATTCTTGGCTATTATGCCAATGCAACATAAGTCACATTTTAAAAAAATCTGATTGAAACAGTAAAAAATGAAGCAGTTAATATTTATACAATTGGCAGGTTGTTAAAGGGGTGGTCCAGTACGATATCATATTTTAAACTTTAGTTGGTGTGTAATGTATCTGTGTGATCAAACAGCATCTCTGAATGTAAAAAGTTCAAAGTTCAATGCAAAGGGAGACCTTGATTTTTACAGAGTTAGCTTAGCAAAGCCTACAATGAATGAATTTTGGGGACTACAAAAAATACTTCTGGGTCTTGTGAGATCATAAAAGTACTTTTACCACACGCACACACTGCGCAGCTAAGGGCCGTGGCCAGAGGCGCTGTAACGTTACAGCAGAGAGAGCTAAAATGCATCCAAATGCTGCTGTTTCCACAGAGCTTCGTCTGTTTCTGTATTTGGGCTTCCAAAGGACACGAGACAAAGACAGAAGTGCTTACAGTTCAATATTAATTATATGTTCCAGAGAATTATAAAATGCATAGCAAGCATGATTTGACAAAACAGCTCCAGAATCTCTCCCAGTTCAGTGCTGGATTCGGCAAAAAGGCTCACATAGGTCACTACATCTTGTCCTTTAACGTTATTCTTCTGTCAGCAACGTCACTACAGAAAATAACTTAATCCAAGCATCAGAAAAAAGAAAAATAAACTTCGCTCTAGCGCACATGCGATTCTCGTATTACAGATAGTTCATAGTATACACATGCGCGCACACACATAAACACAAACACAAAGGCAATCACACACTCTCTTAAAGGAGCCGCACCACATTTTCACTCGTTACAGACACTTGTCAGATGTTATTTTAGAAAGCAGGCATGATGTTGACTGTCTGTTTACACAAGACGCGTGTGCTTGTACGGGCGTAACGTGGAGCCGATCCGCGAATCCCAGCACATTGACACAAGACCAGACCAGAGTCACTTGAGGGCGGGCCTTTCAGAGGAAATAGGAAATATGTCAGTCGTTTTCATGTTAGCTGAGTAGCTGTAAATAATCAAAATGAGATTTATGGAAAAATAACATGATTTCCTTCAAGTGAAACATGAGCACAGACTGCTTTGCATCTTATAAACACAACCAAGCCTTAAAATGACATTCTGTACCACCCCTTTAACATCACAGCTAGCAATCCAAATGACTCCTCTTCATGCTAACTATGATACCATCTTCCTAAAAACTTGCTAGCTTGGAGCTTGCAACATGCTAATTGTGTTAGCACAATGTTAACAACATGCTAATCATGTAGCATCATTTTAGCAACTGGTTAATTGTAGTGGTGGGCAAAACGAAGCTTCATGAAACACTGTCTGAAACTGTCGAAGCAAATGTTTCAACTTCGAAATGTTTCGAAATCTGTCTATACTGTGATGCCTAGTGATCATTTTTATGTATTGCTCTAGAACAGCAAACCGTTAAGCAAATTAAGGTATTAAACCCTACATTGCAAAGCTTCTGAAATGACCTTTGCTTTGAAACGCATTAGTCACATGACCTGGGTGTTTGGAATCACCTTAGTCATGTGACCTGAGTGTTTCAATTCACGTTAGTCACATGACCTGAGTGTTTCAAGTCACCTTAGGCACGTGACCTGGTGTTTCAAAACCCTTTAATCATGTGACCTGAGTGTTTCAAATCACTTAAGCTACGTGACCCGAGTGTTTCAAGTCCCGTTAGTCACATGACCTGAGTGTTTAAAGTCACCTTAGGCACGTGACCTGGTGTTTCAAAACCCTTTAATCATGTGACCTGAGTGTTTCAAATCACTTTAGCTACGTGACCCGAGTGTTTCAAGTCCCTTTAGTCACATGACCTGAGTGTTTAAAGTCACCTTAGTCACGTGACCTGGTGTTTTAAAACCCTTTAATCACATGAAATGGGTGTTTTGAATCACCTTAGCCACATGACCTGATGTTTCAAGTCACCTTAGTCATATGACCTGAGTGTTTCGAATCACCTTAGTCATGTGACCTGGTTTTTCGAAATACCTTAGTCACGTGACCTGGGTGTTTCGGATCATGCTTCGATACAGTTTCGAAAGCTTTAGCATATCAACATTGTCGAAACGTCAGCCCTCCCAAGTTGAGTTATGTTAATCATAACATGTTTATCATGTCAACAACACAGTAAATTACTTAACATCATGTAAGTGATGTTGCGATACGAACAATAATGAACTACACGACAAAAATAGCCAATAGCCATATTGAGAAGCACATGTGTGAGGAGATATCCTCTACTTCAACAAGTACAAAGAACTTTTTGTCCCTCATAACTTCTGAAGAGAAAAAGCACAAACACTTGTCAAGGAAGAATCTTTCCAGTGTGCTTATTCTAATGTATGAAAATGAAGTAGACTTTGGTCTTACCTGATCTGTTTTTCTCCTCAGGCGTTCCTCGGATCAGCTGGATCTAGTGGTGGATGGTTTACCCGTATCTCTTCCCACATACGAAGAGGCTATCTATGGCAGTTGGGGCCAGCGAATCCCGCCATTTCGTGGTCCCACTCAGCTCCTATTAGCCCAGGACGCTTCAGAACACAGTCCACTAACATCACTGATTCGCTCTGATACAAATCGTTGCAACGACACCGCCAATCAGACCACAGAGACTCCACCTCCTTACGAAGAGGTCCAATCACGATCCAGAGACTCTGTGAATGACAGTGACGGACAGGCCATGCAAAGTGCACTTCCTGCTGATAAAAACAACTAATTATTGGACTTCAGTGAACTCACCCTTAGCCTTTTTGATTGTTTGTTTCCTTGCACAGGAGTCCGACTGCGACTTTTTTTTCCGTCTTTGATTATGGATCTCTTTTGGCTTACAACACCAGTGGAAAAACTGCCGCAAATGTTTTGTAATGACCCTAATGGTCAAATCTATTTTGTTTATAGGTGACGTGCTGCAATATTGATTATGTCGTTGTTTTCACGAACAAGGTGGAGACGTGGCTATACCATTTGTCCTCTGTGAGGGGAAATCTAGTGTTTATGAGCACTTTTATGAGTGATGAGTGACTTTTATTTAATAATTTCTGAGAGTTTTAGTGTGGAGCGAATATGATTTCATTGCCTGAAATGTAAAAATCAGTGTTTCTCAGAGCATTCGGGTTGATTGAATGTTACTGCTGAACTTTGAAGATTGTGCCTGTTGACTGATGGATTGTAGTATATGATTTTATTCTGTGTCTTTCTGCCTGAAATGATTTCTTAAATATTGTTTAATATATATATATATGATTTCAGAAAAGACTTGAAGTATGCTTGCTAAACAGACATTGAATGTGTTTTTGTGTAACATTTACAATATCTTGTATATAGTTCTGCACAAATAGTATGTTAAATAATTATACTTTTTTAAACTTTATGAACAATGTTTGCTATTAAAAATATTTTAAATCTTTCTGAGCTTAATGTGTGGTGTGTTTAACTCATGCTGTGAGGTTAACAGGTGGTTGATCCCTCGGAGGCTTATGTGTAATGGTGTGGTCAACAGCAGCGGATTAAAGAGCTTTAATAAAGAGTAAAGTTGTTTTCTAATGAGTCTGTGCAGACATGACCTATAAGAGGATATCGAGAGGACTTTGTTTTACAAAAGTAGAAAGTGAGAACAAACGCCTTCACGCTTACATTTGACCTACATAAACCTAAGCAGGAAGAAAAGAAAAAACGCTTGCTAAAGGTCTTTTTTTATTTATTTCTTTTTTTAGGTCATATTCAAAATTGGTTTCCTGATTTTGCACTCATGTATTTAAATAAGTTAAGAAAGTCACGTTACATTGCTGGTTCAGTTATACAGTCTGGGGCAGCGTGTTAAACCTAATTGTTTATTTATAGTATATCCTGCAAATTATTAGCGACTTTAGTAAGAGAAAATGAACACGTTTTAGCTTGAAGAGAGCTGGCAGAGAGTCCGGTCACCATCTTGAGGTCTTACCCAGAACTACACGCGGGTACTGGGATTATGGCAAGCCATTTTTACATTACTAGGATACATGCAGAGCTACATTTCTTCTCACAGTGATAAATTTTAGTGACCTAAAATTTTATACGGTTCTTTTTACAGCATCAATCTTGTAATGTAAATAAAATATAATAAGTTAAATAGACTTTGGCATTTATTTAGTTGCTAGTTGAGACAAAAAGCCCTGTGCCCGTCAAAATAAGCAGGCTAGCACAGAAGCTCCTGGGGTAAAATTAATGTTCATATTTTAAAGCGATGGCAGAGAAAATGTTATTTAATGCAGTGCTTCTTGTACATTCTGAGACCCACTTTATATTGGATATCAAGCATCAGACAGTGGAGATTGAGGATTGTTTAAAGAAAACACTAAACACTCTGATTCGGTAACATCATGCAGTTCACCAAAGTGCTTGACCCAGGTTACTGACTTATTAAAAGACCTTACGCCTACTTCTGCATATACCCTATTAGGCATACATTTCAACTAGGCCTAAAGTAAATTCTTGATATTTACAATGAACGGGCATACATCCCAGGGGAAGGGAGGAAACATGTCACACCCCCATCGGAGAGCTGTCCCACCCAAAAAAATGTATAAAAAATCACATTCTCTATTCTCTATGAAAAACATATGTCTTCCTCACAGTGGTTTGACCCACTACCTGCTTCCCCAGTTCATCTCACCTACTCTACTTGCAGGTGTGTGGCTGCGGATAAATGTTGAACAGCAGTAAGGAGGGTATTTTACTCATTTTAAATAAAGTGATTCTCTTAAATATAGTTAATGCTGACTCGATTAGAAAAATGCTGATCATATGTAATTTTCCATGAATCTGCTATATTAGCGATTAAATATTACTTCTAGTTAACGTTAGCTTGTTTACAATAGCTTGTTGCATAGTACACTGCAACTAACACACCAAAACAGTTTCCCATGCATTGTTTTATTTGTGACGACTTGGCATAATGTTAAACTTAAACTTGCTATGGGCTATATATATATATATATATATATGCACAGTGTTTTTCAGCCAATGATGAATGTCCGGTGAAAACTTTATGTGACTATTTTTAATTTCATAAGGTACCTTTTACAGCATCGATGCTGTAATGCAATTCAAGTATAATCAGTTAAATAGACATAAGCATTAATTCGGCTGTTAAAGTGTTAAAAAAGATGAAAGACCGTTCAAATGCAGGCGCCAAAACTCCATTGACAATACTGGGGTAAAATGAATTTCCATATCTAAAAGATGTGGCATGGAAAAATATCATTTAATGCAGTGCTTCTTGTTTGGTCTGATACCCACTTTATATCATATCTCAGCCTGGCAGTGAAGATTACTGTTTTTTTAAAGAAACCAATCTTAAACACGGCAATTTTTTAAAGGATGACAATCACCTAAAAGCCTTGGGGCTGGCAGACTGAAATTAAAAGTCTGTGTGCATACATGCCATTTTAGCATATTGTTTAACTGTGCATTTACTAAATAAGCACTGTGCTACGTCTGAACTGACCCCACTGTATTTTTTTGTATAGTCAAATATTCTGTTCTTAAGTGTCTTTATTATCGTGGACACTTCTGGACAGATATATTTACATTTATATATTAAGTACAATTTGACTATTAATTCATTCATTCATCAATTTTCTTTTCGACTTAGTCCCTTTATTAATCCGGGGTTGCCACAGCAGTATGAACGCCAACTTATCCAGCACGTTTTTACGCAACGGATGCCGTTCCAGTCGCAACCCATCTCTGGGAAACATCCACACTTACTCACACTCATACAATACGGACAATTTAGCCTACCCAAATCACCTGTACCGCATGTCTTTGGACTGTGGGGGAAACCGGAGCACCCGGAGGAAATTCACATGAATGCAGGGAGAATATGCCAACTCCACACAGAAACGCCAACTGACCCAGGAGAGACTTAAACCAGCGACATTTTTGCTGTGAGAAGACAGCACTACTGCGCTAGTCGCCGACTATTATTTCTGTCCCCTTCAAAAATTGCTCATGAAAAAATGTTATGTTTATTGTAAATGAAATTTACGCTCATGTAACAATGATGTCATCACTTGCAGGAATGTCTAGAATAGATTGTTGATTTCAACAACTTCATCTTTTATTTCAGGCAATAAAAGCCCAAACGGCTTGCCATAGGCCTTCTGTTTTGGTGCTTAATATTAAACGCTGTTAGAGATTGCTGGAACATCGTGTATTCTCTTCACTGGATAAACAAAACAGTATGACTGTCTTTTATACATTAACTAAATGTTTGTAAAATTAACTAAACGTGAGTATTTGCCAAAACAAGACAATGAAAAACAACAATTCAATATTTCAGCGTTATGTGTTTGTGCGGTGTCAATATTAGGATTTGTGCAGCGTCAGCATTGTGCAGTTGAAATGTGTCCAACAGAATGAAAGCCTATTAACAAAGATTGCATGATTTTATGCTTCAGCGGGGTTTGGATTAAAGATTGCAGATTTAATGGGTTGTGTGAAAAGGATTTATGAAAAGGAAACGAGGGAAAATTTTTAAAAAATACCTTGGTCCATTTTTGTGGTACATTTTTTATCAGCCCAAAAATAAAATACAGTTTAATAAATAAATAAAAAATACTACGGTGTCTCTAAAGGCACACAAGGTTTAAGATTCTACAGATGCAAATAAAATGTAAAGTATTAATCTAGAAAATGACCTTAATGTGTATTTAAATGCATGTAGTCTGAAAGATGCTTTTAAAAATGCACAAATAACATATTCCTGTACCTGAAAGTGTCTTGTTTACCAAAAAAAAAAAAAAAAAACTCTCTTAAAAGAATAAGCAAAAAAGTGAACGTTTCCCTTTAAAACACCTATATACCTTCCTATATACAGACAAATTTGTATTAAATTAAATATTAAATGTATAAATGGTATAATGTAAAATACAAAAATTGTTTTCCTAAAATTTAAGTCTCTTTCCAACTTTACAGCCACCCCCCCCCACACACACATATATACACACACACACACACACACACACACACACACACACACACACACACACACACACACACACACACACACACTCAACGGCCACTTAATTGGGTACACCTGACCAACTGCTCATTAACCAAATTTCAAATCAGCCAATCACATGGCAGCAACTCAACGTATTTAGACAATCTGTTGCAGTTCAACCTGAGCATCAGAATAGGGAAGAAAGGTGATTTAAGTGAATGTGGCATAGGCAATGCAGTGGTGCAGTAGGTAGTGCTGTCGCCTCACAGCAAGAAGGTTGCTGGTTCGAGCCCCGGCTGGGTCAGTTGGCTTTTATTTGTGGAGTCTGCATGCTCTCCCTGCATTTGCATGAGTTTCCTCCGGGTGCTCCGGTTTACCCCACAACTCCAAAGAGATGCAGTACAGGTGAATTGGGTAGGCTAAATTGTCCGTAGTGTATGAGTGTGTATGGATGTTTCCCAGAGATGGGTTGCAGCTGGAAAGGCATCTGCTGCATAAAACATATGCTGGATGAGTTGGTGGTTTATTCCGCTGTGGTGACCTCGGATTAATAAAGGGACTAAGGCGAAAAGAAAATGAATGAATCTATGTTGAATGTTGAATCTACGCCATGAAGGATTAAGGCAGTTCTGAAGGCAAAAGGGGTCCAACCCAGTACTAGTAAGCTGTACCTGATAATATGTGGCTGGTGAGTGTGTGTATATATGCATCTTTCTTTTTTGGTGAAACAAATGGTTTGGAAAAAGAGAAGGGTGAGTAAATGACAACAGAATTCTGAGTGTTTAACTATCCCACTAAAACTACATCAAAAAAAGTGTTGTCACATTTTGATGTCTAGTAACGACCCAACACATGTTTGGAGTGCATTTAAAATGGTTTAATTCTTTTATCAGTCAATACAAGGTATAAGTACATTGAAAATAAATGATGCAAAAATACACAAGTAATATACACAAGATGTCTAAGAGAAGACCTGTTATCCATATGAGAAAGGCATGTGTCTTACCGGACACGGTTTGAATGAGGCCCTGGAGTCATGAGTGTACGAGCTCCACAAATCAGGGCCCACAAATACCGGATTCACATTCAAATGAACACAATAAAAGCACCACAACTAATCCTGTATGCCACTATTTTAAAGAAATTGTCTCTACTGCGTCAAACATGATGGAGAGAAATCAAGATGATCTGCATGTTTGTCAAGCTAACATCTCATCTTCTTGTTTTCCAAAACACGAGGCTTTCAGACGGTCGTATCTTCGAAAATTGTTACGGATGATACGGTACGGTATTATTTAGTTAAACTGAACACCAAGTATAGATTCACTTATAAGTAGTAACTGCAAAAAGTGTATAAAATGCTTTATAAAAAGACGATCACAGGTAGAGTATTTGTTGCGTTTGTCAGCTATGGCCTCGGT